ACACACATACAGAGAGCATGAACAGGTGGGAGTTCAGGTGGGAACAGGTTTGGCCAATGTACATGGCAGAGGGGCATTGCTGGCACATGATGGCATATATCACATTGGTAGATGTGCAGGTGAACGAGCCCCTGATGGTATGGCTGATGTGATTAGGTCCTATGATGATGTCACTTGAATAGATATGTGGACAGAGTTGGCATCGGGGTTTGTTAGTTTGTATGGGAGACGCCTGAACATGTGACTATGAGCCCAGAACTCTCAGCACTGATACGGGTCTTGAGCAAATAACAACCAACCAGCTTCAGTGTCTTCATCTATAGAACAGGAGTGATAGTACAGACTTACCTACTCTATCTCAGCGCTAGGGCTGTTTATTAGTTGAGATCCAGTGATGCAGTCTTTACGCCTGTAAGTTCAATGGCACGACTCATGTAAGCAAAGATTGCGGACTTAGATCCTGATTGTTTCTAAAGTATGTTGAAGGGATATGTTAAATACTGTTTGCTTTAAATGATTATTTATTTTTATAAAATTGCATTTGTGTGGATTGTAATTAACAAACGTAGGAAGATGAGTTCCCTGCCACAAAGAAATTAAAACCTGTGTAAGTGAAAGCTGTGTTGTAAAAATGACACATTGCTACTATATGTAATTTCCACTGCACCTAAGTGGCAATAAAGTTAAGCTCTTCCCATGTTATTATAACTATTCTGTTTAGTGACACGTAAAGATAGCAGGTACCAAGAGATCTTGCCAGATCCTGGGTTAAAACCTAGCCCCCATAAAGCCAATGGGTGTTTTGCGATTGACTTCAACAGGGCCAGAATTTCACCGCCTAATTTCATCCACCACAAATGGATTCAGACTCAGTTGATACTGTCTATTTATGTAGCTTCTCTGTGGATTGGAAAAGGCTTCCCTTTAAAACCTGAGATATTACATAAGGTACTTGTTCCTCTGCAGGACTCACTGGGTAAGTTTCATGTTAAAAACAAGGTGCTTTCTGTGTGAACGGTGGAATATCACACTAAGAACTTTACATGGTGCTTGTGCTTTTCAAAGTCATTTCCCGGGATTTCTGAGGAATTAGAGGTGGAAATAACAGCCTTACAACTTTATAAAAGCAGACTGTATGAGACAACTGTATCATTTTTCACACTGAAGAGTAGTTGTGACTGACAAAATAAGGATAATTTTGTAATAAGGATTCTATAAAAATCTTTTTTTTTCCACTCAGACCTTACATTCATGGAGTTTATACAGAACATTATAAACTATGGGCCAGATTCTGTCAATTTGCTCATGCTGAGTTGTACTTGACTGTGAATAATCCCATTGAAGAAAATGGATCTACTCATGGAGTAAGCTACTACATAATGTCAGTAAGGGTGACAGAATCTGGCCCTATATAGTTATAGCATCACTAAATGCAGCCCCTTCTGGGGTGTGAAGCCAGTACCCCATCATCCAGCATACACTGGCGAAAAGGGATACGTTGGGCAAGGATAAAACCTTATTCTTATACAAAGTGCCATTGGTAGTCAAATTCTACCTAGAGGAAACCGTATATTGCTTAAGATCTCGTCTACAAGATTTTAGCATATTTAAATCTGTTTATTTACCTCAGAATGATAATGGGCTGAAGCAACACTGCCATGATTCAAACCAGAAGTCCCAAAAATTGTTAGTATTTCTTAACCATTGCTTAGCCCGTAGAAGTCATCTTCTCCAGCCTATGCACCTTCAATGTCTTTCCCCACCTAGAAGGCAGTCCTGTCACTATCTCTGTCAGTAGGTCTTGAAAAATTGTATTCATAGTAGGTCAGACAGACCTTGTGCAGACTCTAGAACATCCTGTTTCAAATATGGTTAAATAATAGAGAACAGGGTGCACATTATGTTATATTTATAACAAGCCTGTACAAAGTCTGCAATTTTTTACTCCAACTCTATAATTGTAGCTCAATAGCAGTGAGATCATAGTTATCGCTGACTGAAATGATTGTTAGAACATATTTAATTAAAGGCTTAACTGTTCGCTTGAGTTTTATTTTTGAGGTCAAGGGACTGGCAGGTAATGTGAATCACAGAATCACAGAAATGTAGGGCTGGAAGAGACCTCAAGAAGTCATCAAGTCCAGTTCCCTGCATTGTGGCAGGACCAAGTAAACCTCCTAGACCATCCCTGACAGGTGTTTGTCCACCTTGTTTTTAAAAACTCCCAGTAAGGGGATTCCACAACCTCCCTTGGAAGCCTATTCCAGAGTTTAACTACCCTTATAGTTAGAAAGATTTCCCTAATATCTACCCTAAATCTCCTTTGCTGTAGATTAAGCCCATTACTTCTTGTTCTACCTTCAGTGGACACGGAGAACAATTGATCCCCGTCTCCTTTATAACAGCCCTTAACATATTTGAAGACTTATCAGATCTCCCGCTCCATGCCCATTTTTTTAAACTTTCCTCATCAGTCAGATTTTCTAAACCTTTTTGTCATTTTTGGTTGCTCTCTCCAGTTTGTCCACATCTTTCCTAAACTGTGGTCCCCAGAACTGGACACAGTACTCCAACTGAGGCCACACTAGTGCAGAGTACGGCTGAACAATTACTTCCCATGTCTTACATACGACAACCCTGTTAATGCATGCAGACTATTACCCTTTTTCACAGCTGCAGCACATTGTTGATTCATGTTCAGTTTCTGATCTACTGTAACGCCCACGCCCTTTTTAGCAATACTACAACATAGCCAGTTATTCCCCATTTTGTAGTCGTGCATTTAATTTTTCCTTCCTAAGTGAAGTATTTTGCATTTGTCTTTACGGAATTTCACCTTGTTGAATTCAGACCAGTTCTACAATTTGTCAAGACAATTTTGACTCATTCCATGTCCTGAACCATGTGTGCAATGCCTTATACCCATCTAAGAATGAGACCTTTACAATATTAGTTAATAAAAAATTACAAACCCAACATAGATACCATGTTTTGGAAATTAATCATTCCAAAGAAGGTATTTCTATCTCTAATGTGGTGGGCTCGTCATCACAATGTAATGAAGAAGGTGTCTTTCCATCCTTCCAAACCTTCAATGATAATCGCATCCGATGTGTCCAGTCTAGACACATAATTGTGTAGAGGTGTAGTGTCTTTGAAACCTAACTGCTATGAACAGCCCAATAAATGAAAAAGTTTCTTTTTCTCAAGTGTTCATTTCCTTTGTGAAATATGCTTTTCACAAAGCCCATCCTGTGATAGCCTTTGCTGAAACAATCTTCATCAGGAGTTTATTAGACACAGATGAAATTTTAATGAAGCCATAAGTTTGGCTGTCCCAAGACTCAAGCTTTTGTAGCTTTTTGTGAACATAGTCACATGAGCACATGTCCCCTATGGTTCATTCCAGTTTCAGACAACTAAGAGGTAACATAAATAGATCGGATATTAAACATCATGCTGCGTATTTTAAAAAGTCATAAGTAATTGTTGGTTTTATTTTAATGAGTTAAAATTGGTCAATGTTCTGTTCTTAGGACACCCGGAGTGCAGCTGAATTTGAAGTCAGCCATCTGCCAGGGGCAATACTTATTGACCCGCAGAGTGATACACTGCAAGAATTTCTGCAGAAACGGCTCCTTCCAGGTACAGAAAAGATCTCAGTAGAACTCGTTCTTTGTTGTTGCAAACAACTTTCAAGCTGCTCTAAGGTGAAAATTTTCAAAAGAGCACAGTGAGCACACCTGGGGCCAGAGTTTCATAAGTGCTCAGCCTGTGGGGTGCTGGAGATGACTGGAGAATGTCTTGGCACACAACCAGCTGAGAATTGGGGCAGTGCAAAGACCACCTTTTCACCACCCTCCTGAGCTATTTCTCAGCCAGAGCCAAGAATCTGGGCCCTAATATTAATAAATAAATAAAAAGAAAAAGCCTTACCTGGTTTATTAACAACACTCAGGATTATGAAGACTAAACCAATGAAAAACCTAATTTACTTTTCATCACATATTCTGGATTATTATTATTATTTTATTCTCTGTATGGCACTCAGCCTAGATGGTATAACTGGACTGGCAATTTCTACTCAATGTTACATTCAGGTTCTCATACACTGGCACAGAGCTGAAGAACCTGGGTAAAGAAGTTCTAAAGGGCATTTCAATCTGAAACAACCATTTTCGTTGCTATTAAAAAACACGAACACGTATAATCATCATTAATATTAGATTTTGTTATATAAAAAGAGACAAACTAAATTTTGTGTCTAAATGGCTTGACAAAGGTGCTGGGATATGCCCTGTGCGGAGGTCATTATTGCTGAAATAATCATCATAACAACAGACTAGAAATATTGCCAACTCTCATAAAAATATAATGTTTTTAAAAGCCCCAGCTTCCGGAGTCAAGTGAATATGTGAGAATCTCAGCTTTAAAAAAAGTTCTCAGCACTTATGGAAGCAAAGCTTGAAACTGTGACACCATCCACCATATATCCTAAAGGCTCAGAAACTAAACATCGAATAAAAAGGACCCTAAATTCATTATTAATTATTATTATTATTTAAATCTCATGAGTTTTAAGCCAATCTCATGATTTTTGAGAGCACGCGTTACCCCGTTTGGCGTTGGCAACACTAGATTAGTGAGAAAAACCTTGTACATGGCTTTTAACTCATCCTTGTTTTTTCCGTTCTATTTCAGAGAGTAAAAATAAAAATATCATTTGCTATTGCACTGTGGGATACAGGTCTTCCATGACTGCCCAGAGCATGAATGAGTTCTTGTCAAGTGAAGCCGGCCAAACCCCCCAAACTTCCCTGAAGGTTTATAATGCAGAAGGAGGACTGGTGAAATGGGCCAGTGAAAGAAGGCTGATGGTGGACAAGCAGGAGCAGCCCATTCACATCGTTCACCCCTACAGTGCAGCATGGGCAAAACTACTGGAACCAGAGCTGCAAGCACAGATCTAAAGCATTTCTGCAAGTCTGATCTTAACTGGGGCCTCTAGGTGAAATACAAATTAATAATAAGAATAAGAATTAATGGGGGCCCCAACCTCAACTGTGTCTTGTAGGCATAACCATAATGCTACTAATAATAGAGGATTACAATATGTATTGTAGTTGTTTTAATTGGTGGGCAGAACTGGCTAAAGATACTAAGCCAGCTTTTCAACTGGTCTAAAGTGGAGTAGGAACTGAAGTCAATTCAGATATGACAATTTACACCAGCTAGACTGAAATCTAGATTAACAAAGAGCATGGGACAATCAGGGCTGACTCTGGCTTTTTTGCCGCCCTAGGCAAAAAAGCCACCTGCCGCCCTCCCCCCCCTTTCCCCTGTGCGGCAGGGGAGGGTGCCGAGCCCGGCTGCGGGCCCGCAATCCCCGACCAGCTGGAGCGCCGGGAGCAGGGTGGAGAGCCCAGCCGGGCTCTCCGCTCTCCCCGGCAGCCAGAGTGGCAGGGGGAGGGCGGAGAGCCCCCGGCGGCCAGAGAGCCGGGGGAGGGCGGCGAGCCTGCTGTGGCTCCGCTCTCCCCGGCGGCCGGAACGCCGCAGGGAGGGCGGCGAGCCCAGTCGCGGCCCCGCTCTCGGGCCGGAGCGCCCCGCCGCGCCACCCCCCTCCAGGCGCCGCCCCAAGCACATGCTTGGTGGGCTGGTGCCTGGAGCCAGCCCTGGGGACAATACAGAATCCATGTGCCGTCTGGTAAAAAGGGAGAAGTCCTGGCAAATGCTGGGAACAAGCCTGAAAGAGGTTATTGTGCCATAGCATGTAATAAAGTCACATCAATCCTCCTCTTACGCCAAGATGGAACAGAACACTTTAGCTTTATGAACCTTTTCCTTCAGTCTCCAGGTCTGTCACTCTGGCACCTATCATAAGAATCTTTTAAAAAATAATATCTAATAAAAAATACAGATAGAATCCCACGATCCAATTCATGACGAATGGAAAAGCAAAGAACTGCATTTCTAGCATCTCTGTTACTGTTTAAATTTGCTGGTGCAGTCCTGTATTCACCAGATAGCTTGTCTAGATGCATCTAATCTTTCTGGGAATAACAGTTGGGCCAGTCACCTAGGTAAAGAGAAAGAGAGCGCCAGCTGGAGATGCATAGTAACCGGTAAATAAAATGCTATGATTAAGTGAGCTTATTTCCTGCTAGTGAGTTAGGTTCTAAACATACATAAGCTCACCCATATACAATGAAAATAACTTTAATTCTTGGTCCTTGCAAAGGTGATGCACAAATAGTTACAGTTTCATGGAGGCCTAAATAAATATTTGGGAAGAAGTATAAACCCGCTCGTTAACTGCACTCTAACCAACCTGTCGGTGCTTATTATTTGCTCAATTGCTGTATAATCTTGACTGCAGCTCTGAAATCCTTTGGAAGCATTTCTAAATATACACACCTCTCAACTTGGACATTTTAGGTGAGTGAAAATAGCGCATCACTGGTTGAACCTCTGTCTTTTCCTTGACCACTTTATTTTAAAAATAGCCAGCCGTTGACTTATTTTAAATAGTTGTACATGGAGTACTACAACTAAGAGAAATCTGAAACTGTTGTTATAATTTCCGAGGTGCATGATCTTGCAGTTTTACTCTGGCAAAAAAAAATCGTCCCAATCTCAAGAGTAGTTCGGTGGGTTGTTGTTTGTTTGTTTGTTTGTTTGTTTTGGGGGGGTTTTGGTCTTAACGTTCAAACCTTACAGCTCTAAGGGCCTAATCCAAAACCCATTAATGTTGATATGAGCCTTTCCATTTACTTCAATGGGCTTTGGATCAGACTCACGATGAGCTGCTAGGGCAACGGAACTGAAAAGAGCTGGAGAAGGAGCCTGGGGATTCTAGAGAGTAAGTCAGTCAAAAACTAGATCGCAGGACACTAGTCTGACTGCGACTGAAGATGGAGCAGTTAGCGTTTGGAATGATCAGATTGATGAACAAAAAATACAATGAAATATCTAAGCCACACAGCCTGAGCGGCCGAGACAACAAGGTTTGGTATTTGGTGAACGACGTATAGAAGAAACACAGCTGGAGCTGTTACAAAAGGGAGGTGCCTCCCTTTGCTTGGTGGGCTGGTGCCTGGAGCCGGCCCTGGTTACTATATTTAAGCTTAATGTCAATGTTCACCATACAATCTGATCATTATTTGCTCCCATGATGTAGAGGTTGCTATTGGAGTTGGTGACACTGATCCCCCGCCCCCCTTTTGTCACCCGGCCCAGGCAGGTTACTGGGACCAGCACATAAAGTCCAGTTTCTTCCCAGCACTTCAGCATGTCAGAGAGGGCAGGTCCCAATTGCTTCCTTGGGATTAATCAGAGATCAAGGCCTATTCCAGAGTTAAAATAATTAATAACAACTGAAAACGCCCAAAACCTGATTCTTCCTGAAGTAATGAGGTGCTGGCAGTTCTCCTAAGGAAACCACAAACCACATCATTTACCCACACTGACTAAGGGGGAGACAATCAAGGGATTTTAACTTCAGAGCCCCAAAGTTCCATGTTCCACTAATTATTTCCAAGATTTTAACATAAAAATGCAGTCAGCAGAAATAAAATAAGCAGAGACAAGCCAGTCCTTTTGACAGGTGGAGAGAATCTGTTCTTCTTGGAAATTTGGATCCATATTCAATATCTACAAAGTTCAGGGTATTTGGATCTGGGCTTTTGGTTTGGGCCCATCCCTCCTAACAACAAAGATAACGGTGGAAATTAACAAAGGATGCTGTATGAACCCATTTACAGGGGAGCGGGGGGCGGATTAACTGCTGGGGGGGGTAGGTTATTATAAGGGGGAAAACAAGAACAAGAAAAAGACTTATCCAGAGAATTAAAATAAGCAAAAAGGAGCAGATTCCTTCTCTCTCCCAGGCCTTTGAGAGGGCAAACTCTGTTCTCCCCTCTGGGACAGCACTTGTCTGAATTTCTTCAGAGTGCAGAGAGGTAGGTATGAAGTTCACTCACTCCTCTCCTGGACCAGCAGGGGGCGTCCAGCTCTGTGGCACAGTTCCCATCTCTAATTCAGAGATAGTGGTATTGAGTGGTTCTATTTAGGGACTGTTCTTAACCCAATATTCATGTCAAACTGATCATTTTGTTTCAGCTAAATGTAATCTTTAATGGGCCTATTCTAGGAAAGGTAGAGTAGAGGGAATAGGTCCATATACAGACTGAGATCAGTTTTCATTTTGGGAGCATGCATTTTTTTGGGAGATGTCTGCACTGGGAAATGGTAAGAAAAGAGAAGAGCATGGGTTGTGGTAGTTAAAGCAGCAGGACGGGCCATCAGGGTTCCTGGGTTCTAGTCCCAACTCTGGAAGGACAGTGTTGTCTAGCAGTCAAAGCCACAGACAATCTAGAAGATCCTGCATTCTCTCTGTAAGTTTACAGTAAAGACTGCCAGAGAGAGGCCCCACCACTATGCAAATCCTTTTAATATCTTAATGAGTTAACAATTTGCCAGATTCACTTATCTCAGCTGTAATAGGCTCTCTCCAGATGGACTTTATTCAAAGATCGTCATGACCCAAAACGCAGTTGATTTCTATGCAATCTGCTAGTTACAGAATGACCCAACTATATATGCTCTATAAATAGTTTACAAAAAGGAAGCGGACCTAGAGATTTTCATCTACATAATGCAAATAAGGGTGGCCTAAAGGTTGGCGACATGTGTATCTCAATACTGTTTAGGGACCTCATCCAATACTTTGCCTTCTGCAGGAAGGGGATTTCAAACTATAGTTTGGTTTCCTCACATCAATCTCCTGTAATTTCCACTTTTTGTATGTTCCTCAAAAAGATGAGAACGGTGACAATCTACACAGACCTCAGTATCTGCTGTAAAATCTCAGGCCAGTTTTTAAATGGGTCAATAGAGATGCATTTCTGTGGTGGAGTTTTGCAGAGCTAGATTTAAATTCACCTGTGGGCCAGCAAGATCTTGAGAGGTGTGTCAAAATGGAGCCATCCAAAATCAGTAGCCACTTTTGAAAATATTGGCCTTTGCAACTTGGTCACACAGGAATGACAGAGCAAAGAATCACACCCGGATAATCTGCCTACTTGACTTGTTCTTGCCACATGGTCATCTTTCCTTCAAAAGACCTTGAGTCAGTTCCAAATTTGGATCACTATTTTGTGTCTTCTAGGGTGAGATTGTCAAAAGCACTCAGTGCTGGCCTAACTCATGTCAATGAACCACTGCTTTCAATAAGAACAGGATTAGGCTAAAGGTGAACAATTTTGAAAATCCCACTCTTACTGACAAATACTCGAGCTGGTTAGAAAATGCAGGGAGGGGAGATTTCAATGACAATGAAAATAATTGTTTTCTACTGAAAAATTTGACTTTTAATCAAAAACCTGAAACTTTTTTTTTTTAAGTTTTTGTAACTGGAAAAACCAAAATATTTCCAGATGAAAAATCAAACTTTTTTTGTTTTTTTTGCTCAGATCAGTATAGCTTTTGGTTTCCAATGAATAATCAGAAATGTTCAACAAAAACAGTCACCTTCTACACCAAAATAATAATAAATAATAATAATAACTTAACTGAAAACTCAATTTCCCATCAAATTAAAATTGACAGAAAATGTTCAACCAGCTTCACTAAATATTAAGTCACTGAAACCCATTATTGGTCAGTAGTCAGCAGAGGAGGTTTGTTTTGTTATAAGGAACATTCAGTCTCTCCTGACTTTTCAAGAATCTGGTTGTCTATAGAATCACTGCTCTTTGGAAGCTGCACATCACATTTCTGGCATGAGGTATGATTTGAAAACGTATTGCCGTCTGACTCATTGAAAAGCTACATTGCAAAGAAGGCCAGGCAGCAATTTTTCATGGTTAAATAAAGTGAATAGACATGGGGAAGATAACATCTTTTTACTTGTAAAAGAAATGGTCAGCTGCTTATGACAAAGATCTATGGGATACAAGGATCCTTATTGAGTAATGAATGGCCACTATTATTGCAGCAAAGAAACTCAGATGAACAAAAATAGATTTAATACTGGTATTATGATGCAATCACCAACACGGTTTTAAAAAAATTGCAGTATTATTCCTAGGGATAGTTTTGTTTATCTTATCAGGC